TTATTCTCTCAATCTTAATTGAAACCGACTTCTTACAATTTCTCAACAGTTTGAAATTTATTTTACATTCATCGTTAACTTATATTTTGATGAATGAATAAATACATCGAGGATTAATTACGTACGAAAATAACGAACGTGGGTTATTTTAGATTAGATGACCTTTTCGATCATCCTGGCTCGCTTATCCTCGCTGTTTTAGGCTTTCAGAAACAAGTGTGATCGGAAACAACGATTTTCTATTTTTTTCTGCCGAGGCTTCTTCTTGATATTTCCGGGTGATAAATGTATTTTGGTCGTTTCTGATCGTTATGGTCTACCGATCCTAATTGTTTTCGGTGGTATACCAGACCGCATTGAAAATAAATAAGGCAAACATCAATAATCGATTTCTTGTCGATGTCTGCGTAGGGATGAATTTGGTGGTTTCCAATTATACTGGTCCGTGTATCCTCGCTGTTTGAGGCTCTGACTCATTTAAAAGAATCTGAAACTTATTTATTTTTTGGATCTAAGGTAGATGAACCGGCAGATAGGTTCTATCCGACACTCTTGGTCCGCCTTTTCTCGTTGTTTTTGAACTGGAATAATAAAGATAATGTAGATAAAGTATTTTCAGATTTTTGCTGAGGTCCATGTTCAAAACCTCACTGTTGCAATTGGGACGAATCATCCTGGTCCGCCTATCTTCGCCGTTTGAGGTTTGTCAGATATTATGGTAAAGGCAATGGAGAAGAAAGAATACTTAGATGTTTTGGTGAGGTCTGTTAGGGGAATGATGATAATTTTGTACTTTGGTCGTTTTCGATCATCCTGGTTCGCCTTTTCTCGCTGTTTTTCGCCCGACCGTTAGACAAAGTGGCAAATAAAAGGATGGATTGTATGCGTTATGGTTTAGATCTGCATCTTTTTCAACCTGTTCAAGCTGTTTTAGGCAGAGACTTGTTACTGGAATGAATACATTGTTTCTTCTGTGAGATTTCATCTTGAGTTCGACGGGTTGATTCATAAACAGATTGTTTCTTTGAGACCATTCTTTTGGGCAGTCAGACGAATTTCGGATTTTCAACATGTAATGACGATTGTTCATTATTAAGAAATTTCACTATTTAAATTATCTTTGTAGTAAACACCTTTGAGCAGTAGTTTCAAAACGTTATCTTGACAGAACTATGATATAATGACACTGTCCTCATGTATCCTCTAAGGGATTAATGCTTGATGAGCTATGTAATTTATTGAGAGAATTGTTTTTTAAAAAGAAAAGTTACAAATAGGTTGTTCAAAAGGTAAAATAGTGCTGTATTTACCTAGAGGAATCATGCTATTATAACTGGATACGATGATTGGCCAATTTTCCCCGTGCGTAGTGCAATAATTGTAAATAGGTGCGTTATTAGGATGCGTGCGCGTTTTGTGTGCGAAGGCGGCGAAGGTGCCTCGCTCCTTCTCTCCTCCAGGTGTTAACAGTGAGCGGTTTTCTCAAAAGGGCCGACCGTCGAGGCGTGGTGATTCTATTGAGACATTAGAGTCGGCTATTTTGGGAGATGATAGGGTAGGACTAATAGCCTTCCACGGCTACTTCCTCCGGGGTGGTCCTAGGACGAATTACTCCGGCCCACACAAATTATTGCGGGCCCCACGCCCCAAACAACCGTGAGCCGTTGGAAGAAGGAGAGAGAAAAAAATGGTTTGGCGTTTCTCACTATTAAGTTGAGAAACCGTGTGAGAATTATGTCCTGTTCGGATTCACCTTTTTTCCCTCCCATTACGTGACTAATTCCATAATCACAGGCACACTTGCCAGCTGTGATGATCAATCTGGCTCTATTCGATTTACGCCTCTTTTCGATTGAACTCCTTGGCAGGTGACATCCTCACATTCACTACACTTTGTGTTATTTGGCATTATTCAGATTTATCCGTAAAATCTTAACTGTTGTATATGTTTTAGGCTGTCAGAAACAAGGATGGTCGGATGTCTACGATCTAATTTTCTTCTTCTTTTTGATATTTACGGATGGTAAACGTTTCAGTCCATGTAGTTTTTGGATGATCTGTCAGACATGTCATTCGTAATGGAAAAGACACAGAAAAGAACGAATTGTCATATTTCTTGTTGATGTCTGAGGCGTGATGAGTTCGGGTGTTTCCAATAATCCTCTCTCTCTCTCTCTCTCTCTCTCTCTCTCTCTCTCTCTCTCTCTCTCTCTCTCTTTCTCTCTCTCTCTGGTCCGCCTATCCTCGCTGTGTCTGACTGTCTCACATTTGGAGGATTGGAAAAAATGACAACTTTTTTTGCTTTGGTGAGATTTCTTTTTGGTAATAAACCAGCACATTGGTTCCCTCGACGATCCGTTTCTCTTCTTCTTGAGATCTGCAGGCTGATGAACGAGCAGATTGGATCCAATCGACCCTCCTGGTCCGTTTCCCCTCGCTGTTTTTGGCCTGTCATCGAAAATACAAAGTAGAGCAACCGTTTTCGATGCAATTTTTTGCATTTTGGCATTTTCCGATCATCTCGGTCTGCCTATCCGCACTGCTTTGATATGCCTTTCATCAACTTTGATGGTTGACCTTGAATTAAGTGTTAGTTTTCACATAAGCAAATGAAAAAGCTAAGATCACAATAATGCCAAGATCAGTAGATTTTTGTTTTTACGAATTCATGGACAAGATCAGCATTAAAAATATAATACATTTATGTTTAGTTATTTAATTGACCATTTTAATTATTTCAATTAATTCTTCTTTTTAGGTAAGTTTTTCATCTCAACCAAGACCTTACATAAAAAGAAGAATTAATTAAAATAATTAAAAACATACTTGAAACTGTTAAATATTAAAAAATCTAAAGAATCAGAACAAACCCAATTTATGAGAATGTAATAAATAAAGGAAAAAGGCCAAATTTGACTAAATTGAGGGCTCACAACCCTTCTATCTTTTCTAATTGTCTTTGTTTTCAAATATTCGCTGCTATTACTTATTAAGTAAAGTTCACGAAACGGTATTCATCTAGGCGTTCGATGAACTAAGCTGAATCATGATGATTTAACTATCGCCCGTTACAGATGCGAGCATCTCAAGTAACACAGATCTGTTTTCTTTTTAAATATTTGACTGATTTGTCACCTTGTCTTGGCACGTGAAGCTTCTCATGATTCAAGCTGTCGCTCCGGGTCCTGGGTCAGGGTGGTCTTCGGACAATGCGGGACAGTAGCAGGACAAGGCCGATTGTCACAGCTTTCGACCCCCCTTGTCACCGGGAGCAGAAAATTTGAATTTTATACGGGGCGCTGTCAACGCTTTTCACCTCTCTTGTCCACCCACACCCGGGTCTACCTGGCCGGTTAAAAGACCGTAACGGCAGACTGTCAGTCACCCCGCGACAAAACTCACAAATTTGACTGACTTCTTTCTTTTTGGCGAATCTTTTGTCATTTCTCTATGCTGTTTGATAATTAAGCGTGCGGGTTTTTTTTTCTTTCCGACCCAGGGAAAAAGTAAATCTCTTAACGGTTTTTCTCATTCATAGTGCAAACTTAAATTGTAGTGTAATCGATAGTTTTTAATCATAGAGAAGGAAGGATTGAAAAGGAGAACTTGTTTCTGTCCTCCTATTTGTTTGTTCATTTAATAACCCTTATTAAATTTCTTCTTCCTCCTTTTCCCGCCTACTTCCTTTCTTTTATTAGAGTTATTTAGGATTTAAAAAAATCCCCTCCGCAAATTGTATCCAACACGACTTGGTTAATGGAAAACAAACCTATTACTCCGAATAAATAAATAATTTTGTCAATAACTGAAGCATTTTTTGTCGAAAAAAGGACGATAAGATCCTTCCTTGACGTTTGATGATTGATCTTCTTTAGGTTCTTATCTACTTTAGGTCCAATAGTTTCTGGTTGAAAAACGTTCTTCCATTGAAAAAAAGTGTTAGAAAATAATTAATTATTAACAAAAGTTGTCTTGTGATGAATTGATCATTCGTTCAAAATCATATGGTGAACCATCAAGATCATTCAAAATTATTAAAAATGATATCTCCTTCTGGAAAATATCAAATTTTTGCTCCTCTTATAATTTTTATCATTGGATATCATTCGATTAAATTACGGAGAAAATCATCTTGATAAAGTAGACATGCCCAATAAACTCCCTCAATTGAATTTTTTCATCATCATTTATGATTTTGTTAAATTTCACTTGTAAAATTTATTAATATTTAAAAAACGCGTTTTTATTTTATATAATTTTTTTAGCACTAAAAGATAATTTTTATTTTCAAAAATTTAAAAATATACGTTATTTCAAATAAAGTTTTATATATTTTTAATTACTCGTTCTTTTCTTCCTTTTAACACATTTTTCAACTGATATGTGTAACTAATTTTTTTAAGTTTCAAAAAATGTATGAGTAAATGTTTTTCATTTTACATTTTGTATTTGGATATTTGTTCAAAAAATAAATGCATATATATGTGCATATTTATATTTTTATTATGTAATTCCGGCCCCTAGTTGAGTAAGAACTTAGCGATTTGACAAGAGCGAAAACGCTGGGACATATCTTTGCATGTCTCTGTCAAGCCCTATTAAAATCCTAAGTCTATTTTGACTGTCCAAAACCAATCAGAAACCTGGTCTGAAAACTTGATGGAACAACTAAACTCAACTGCACATGTGCCTGCCAGGCTGCTGATGGTTTCGCCTGATGCAAACTTTTGTTAATATAGGTGCTTACACTTTCATGTGTATGCGTTAGGCCTGCTGACCTAAGCCTGAAGTAGCTAGGTTCTTAAGTTAGACCTGTTAGGGAAGTAAAAAGTTAGCATGGTGGTATGACTGAATATGGTGGTTGGGCAATACCAATCCAGCAAGGATAGTCAAAACGACGGAAACGATTGTAAATCAAATGGTGACTGATTATGATTGCTATTCTATTTAGCTCAATAATTACCTTTTGGGTGAAATTTAATAGTTACTTACCAATGTTGCAGGTTGTCGGGAGACCGCGTTCATATACGCAATCACATCTGCGGCAGTGACGCACGCGGTGGCTCGGTCCTGCGCCGAGGGCAGCATCGAATCCTGCACCTGCGACTACAGCCACGTGTCCCGAGGTGCCCCGAAGGGCGCGGCGGGCGTCCACGGAGTCCGCGACTGGGAATGGGGCGGATGTTCGGACAACATCGGCTTCGGTTTCAAGTTCTCCAGGGAGTTCGTCGACACAGGGGAGCGAGGCCGGAGCCTCCGGGAGAAGATGAACCTGCATAACAACGAAGCCGGAAGAGCTGTAAGTGAATCCAACTTTCAATGTTATGACACGGGATGTGTGTCAAGTGCGCGGATGATGCAAGTCGGGAGTGTTCGGATCTGCATATGGGATCGGTTGAATGATGTCAACGAATATTGTGAGATCAGCCGTTCCGGAAGTTTCGCAAATATCGTCTTAAACGTTTCCCGTTTTCGGCAGAGGAATTATATCGATGTTTTTGTTGATCTATTTCGCACAAAAATCGTCTGACAAACTTCTATTTACAATATTCGCATAGAAATTAACTAAGAACTATTTGTTTAACTATTTCCTCGGTTTTAATTGTTGGAAAACATGGTTTTGGGTTGTGTGAAAGACAAGGAAAAGAATGAGCGTGTGGAGGGTCGGCGAGGACCTTAGATGCTTTCTTGCCCTAAACTTTCCACATTATAAATAAAACATAGTTACAGATTTGCATTGTCTTGAAATATCATTTACTGCTTTCACTCATTTACTGTTATTTTTCAATATGTCATCGTCACCTAAAGCTTGCCTCCAGACATGCGGTATTCGCCGAATGCCGATTGCCGCCGAATATTTGTTTAGTCTCGACATACGCATTCGCCGTGCTTATGTGTACACACATGCGGTGTTTGTATAATCTTCTAGTTGTTGCGGAAACTGCGAATATGTATTTGCCAAGTGCCGTGCGAGTCCTCACCAAACGTGATGGACAATAGTGCAAATGTCATTGCTGCAGCGGTAATTGTTTTGTGCAGTGATTACATGCCTAGAGCCTCCTTTAGAATGTCGGACTCCATGTCCAGTATTTGAATGACATCTGTTAATACTTTTATTTTTCTAATTTTATATATTGTCAGAAGTGACTGATTGTGAATTTGGTTTCTTTTGTTGTTTTTCAGCACGTGGCGGCGGAGATGCGACAGGAGTGCAAATGCCACGGTATGTCCGGATCCTGCACCGTCAAGACCTGCTGGATGAGGCTGCCTCCGTTCCGGGTAGTCGGTGACAACCTCAAAGACAGGTTCGACGGTGCGTCTCGCGTCTCCGTGAGCAACGCGGGCTCCATTCGTCCGACGGGGAAGAAGTCGAGGTACAACCTGCAGTTGAAGCCGTTCAACCCCGAGCACAAGCCGCCCGGCGTCAAAGACCTCGTCTATATGGACACGTCTCCGAATTTCTGCGACAGGAACCCCAAGTTGGGCATCCAGGGGACCCAAGGCCGCCAGTGCAACGATACCTCCATCGGGGTCGACGGGTGCGACCTGATGTGCTGCGGAAGGGGTTACCGCACACAGGAAATCGTCGTCGTCGAAAGATGCGCCTGCACCTTCCATTGGTGTTGCGAAGTTAAGTGCAAACTATGTCGGACGAAAAAAACCGTTCATACTTGTCTTTAATTTAATTTTTTTTGACTTCTACAAAAACATGTGAGAAATGTTAAGGACTCTTTTAACAATCGACGAAATAGACTGAACTTATAATTTATTAATTTATTTCGACTGATCAAGTGTATATAGCTAATGTACAGTGACTTTCATGTCATCAGTATTAATTTTTTTAAATTTTTATTGTATCTACTATACCTTTTCCCACCAAATTTGTGAATAATTTCTTTTGTTTTAATTTTGTACATTGTATATATTAATTGCATCCCGTTTTACTTGTAGGTACATTTAGTTTGATATTTATTTTGTAAATTGTATTATAAAATTATACCAATGTATTATAATGTTTATAATTCTTTTTGTTTTTATAACATTTAAGGATCAGTTCCTGACTGATTAGAGATAAAGGTTTTTTATATTCCTAACCGAATATCATAAACATTGTATGAAGAATAAAATTTTATTACCAAAACGAATAAAAGCAAAGAAAATACGATTTCAAATTAACTACAACAATCAACTATAAAAATTTCCTTTCTGTTCGACCCTGTTTGTACATATTTTGTCGAAGTTCCAGAAGCCTAGGAGAAAAGGAATGCAACCAAAAATGGTTCAAGCCAATGACTTTCGAGGCATTTAGTCAAACTTATAATGTTTTAAATAAATGATTAAATTCGGAAGAAGATTTGTAAAATTACATTTTCTGACAAACTACAACTTCAGTTCCAAACTTTACCTCATTTTTGACAAAAAATTAAGCTAATAAGTCGATAATCTGAAAACAATTAAAACGTTAAATAAATAATGAAAGCAAATCACTTTCTTAGTCCAGAAGCATTTAAGTTTAATACTTTATATAGTTCGGCTGCTGAGACGGATTGTTAACTAATTAGATATGTTAAAAAAAGTAAGTTGTTCGTTATTACCATGTATAACGAGGTTGTACAGAAAATATGTATACTTAATGTACTGATCAGTCAAAATTTTGTTAATTATGGTTATTTGATTTTAATTCCATGACAATGCAGGTTGTACCTTATTTTAAAGAAAGACTACAAAAACTATAACAAAACCACAATTTTATTGGAATGAATTTAATATAAAAGAAAGTGTGATGTGTACTATTTAAATCGTATAAGTTGTGTATATGACATTAAAACAGTCTGAAAGAAGAATTGTAGATTTTCCTTTATCCTGTCGTATTCCAACTTTCTACTAACACGTTTTCAACTTAGTACAATTAAAGGCAAAAATATTAAAATTTAACTAACAATTTATTACGTAATTTTGTTCTTAATAATGCGTATTACATCCTCTGCCCTCGCGGGAGCCTTAAGCCGTACTAGGCATCGAGTAAATGAGTGACCGGCTTTCATCTTGTGCAACAGAATCCCATTCTTCCAGAAGATCAGCTTGAAGCTGTTCAACACTTGTTGGAGGCGGCGAACGATGACTAACCCGTTTTTTTAATCTTGTTCTATAATGTATTATATGTTTTTTGTAAATAGGACGTGCTGGCCAATTCATCGTGGTAATACCAACATCCTCCATATAACTGTAACAACTCGATGCGGTCGAGCATTATCATGCATTAACACAGAGTTGTTCCTAATATATGGAGCAAATGGGACCACAGGAACACCTCTTCAATAAACATTAGTGCAGTCAAAGATCCATTATCTATACCGGGCACGGTCAGCAAGCCATAACTGAATGTCTTCGGCTTGACTCACTCACGGCACATGAAGCAAAGCGTTCTCCATTTCTTCTCCACATACGGTCCCGGTCATCTGATTGGCACAAACCAAACCGACACTCATCTGTGAAGAAAGCACCCCCACTTTCTTCAAGTGTCTCACCGAGATGTTGATTTGCGAATAGCCGCCTTTATATTATGCCTCTTAGTAGTAGAGAACTTGATAGAGGCTAGGATATTTTCATGAAGCCTTCTGATGACTGTATGTTCACCTTACATACGTACCTTTTGGAGGACTACCTACCAAGGAATCTGGTAAATGACGGTTTCGTTGTACGTATGAGCAGTAAAACGGAGGATCACCACCATCTCTTCGATCGAGACGTCCGATGGTCCTAAATAGCGTAGACCATCGTGGTAACGGACCGAGCTAATCTTCTCGACTTAAAACTATGCCTAAAAAAAAATAATTAATTGTTTATTAAAATTTATTGCTTCACCAAAGAAAACAGTTTAAAGCCTAATTTACTCACTCATCAAGTTGGCTCTGGACAGGTTCAAATTAACTATCTAAAGAGCGTAGAAGGACTTTATAATGGAAAACAACAAGTTAATAACGATGTGTTTACGTTTTAACTCAACTATTAGTAATCTTTATACCTAATTATTATGGAAAATAAACAAATAATACAACGTTTTTTATTGTCTTTGAATGTATTTACTGTCGAGCACGGAGTTTCATTTACGGCGGTCATGGCAAAACGAGCCCTAATGATCTGTTAACTAATTTAGCGTTACGGTGACACGGATTTTGGTAGCAAATATACGCTGGTTGTCAGTAAACATGGCGTACTGGAAGATGTTCCAATGTCTGACACAAAAAAAAAGTAACCTATTATAACCAGATGCTATCTTGAGGCAACGATGTTTTTAATGCCTTGGAAGTAAAATTAGCGTGTGGAACTTCATGTATATATTCTATTGGTGATAAAAGAAATTAATTATTTGACAGAACGTGTCCTCCGGTATCTGGCGATATCGAGTTGTGGAATCACTTTATTGTTTACAATGTATGGTTGACCTTATACCTTTTTAATATACACATGCACTCGACTTTGGAGTCTTTGCATCTAATCTCTGTTTTCGGTTCTATTCCTTTATACCTCTAGCTTTGTTTATATTTTGGTGCGCGCCATTATCAACTGCTCAAAAATGAATAAGGATATTTGTAATTTATTCTTATTCTATTAATTTTAATTCAATTAACCGATATTTTCGTTTTAGTTAGATAAAACAAAATACAAAATTCAAATCAAAACAAACAAATGTTAATCCACATTTTTAACCAAGGATTTACTTAAGCATAGTAAACATGAAGATTACTCAGTTTGTAAACAAACCCCTTTTCTTTGCTTATTCACCATTTTAATTCAATTGTATTTTCTTTAACCATGGAAAGACATCTTGAACCAGAAGTTCGCAATATTATTGTGAGAGGAGTCATCGACTCCGCCGGCAAGTGGATATCGCAGAGGCATTTTCTCAGAGCGTTGTCTCCCGGGCTTTAGTCCGATTCTGAGAGACCGGAAGTGCCAATAGGAGGCCTGGTACCGGATCCTCAGCGCATTACGACGTTAAGGGAAGACAGGAATATTGTCATTGCTGCAAGACGGAACCATATCCATAGTGCCCGCAGATCCTAAATGAAGTACAACACGTTTTGGCAAGGTGTTCAGCACAAACGGTTCGTTATGTATATGGGAAATTGGCCTCACATTGTAGGCACCTTTGAGACGACCTGCAGCAACAGCCTGCGACCAGCAACTCAAGAAAATACGGCACAACTAGCGCCTAGAAGAGAACACCACTTGGAATGCTGTTATGTTTGTGATGAGTCGCGTTTCTGTCTGTATAGTGATATAAGGCGTCAAAGAGTCTATCGAGAACGCATCTACAATGCCCCAGTTTGAGCTCCCTTCGGTGCAGTTTGGAGTAGAAGTCTGGGCTGGGATTTACTCTGGAGGACGAACTGGAACATATTGTTGAAGGCAACCTCACCCCAGCACGTTAAGTCCAAGAAATTATCGATGAATACATCCCTCAATCCAGAATTTTCGATTTCTGTATGTAACTGCCTCTCATAGAGGCAAAGTTGTTCAACCATGTTTAGAAAACCGGGGAATTTCCCATCTGCCACTTCCTCGTCTCCTAACCTCAATCCCATTGAGTACATACGGGGTGCGTTGCTGAGAATGTTTTTCGATCACCATCAGCAGCTAGTTCACTTGCAATAACTGAGTGCACCATTTGCAACATCTATGGAGTGAAATTCCTTATTAAATTAGTGACAACCTTATTAACAGTATGCCTAACAGGTGCATAGAGGTTTTGGCTTTTATCTCAACTAAAATCTTGATTAATTGTAATATAATAATTGGTCAAGTGGACCACGAAATTAGTGACTTTATTGTTTTGGCTAACAGAAGTCATTATAAACGGTATTAATTATTTAAAAAATTATTGTGCCCAATAAACAAAATTATGGAATTAAAACGTTCTATTTTGTTATTTTTTCAAAATCCTTTAATTACATTTTCCTCCGGTAAAAAACATAATATGTTCTAATAAATCTTAATACAATTTATAATAAAACATAAAATGAAAATGCTAGGGAAAATAATTACTACAAAATTGGCAATATCCTTATTCATTGTTTTGTTGGGACGTGTTGAAAAAACTGACACGAAAATGAAGTAAGCTATGTCTCCTAGGTACTATGTGTCCGCTGGCATATGGCGATGTCAGCTTTCGGAATAACTTCATTATTTATAGGTATAGGTTATACTCAAGATATTGTCACCCAGATGCTTTGTGACACAGATCCTTTTATTACTTCGCACGCAGACTGCATGTCTGCTCTTAACATGAAAGTTGCATGCTTTTTACATCGTTGATAAAATCACTGAATTATTTAGTAGAACGTTCGGATGTTGGAATCGGAAATAACCTTATTGCTTAGAGGCATAGATGTAAACCTTATGGTTCCTTTTTAGAGCAAAAGTGAAACTGATAGATTTTGATTTTTTTATCTGTTTTTAATATTTATTACGCCTTGATACGCGCACTTCTGTTCAGCGAATTGTTTTGTTGGGTGATGTTGGAACGTCTTCGAACCCACGACCCTCGGCTAAATACGCCGCTGCTCTACCACTTGAGTTATCGTAATTTCGATCTACTCGTAGCACCGGCGTATTTAGCCGAGGGTCGTGGGTTCGAATCCCGCTCGTGACACTGACATCTCAACCTATAACGTACATAAAGATTAATTAACTGAAAAAAGTTATTCGGTCAATCAGACCACGATCTCTAATGAATTTAATAATATTATAGGTTTATGTTAGGTTTTGGTTTTATCATGATCTAATCTTACATGATTGCATTATTGTTTTATATGTTTTTTAATTATTAATATATTTTATGTATGTTGAGAATGTTTCTAGTATAAGCTACCTCTTATTTGTAAATGTTGGTTATTCTTACGGTAGTCTATCCATGTTTTGCCTTCAAGTACAAATCGATTTGCAACATAATTGGTCTATATTTAATCAAAATTTAAATCTAAATTTACAACCCGACCTCATGAACTTTCTTCCGATTCCTACATTAAATGTTTCTTCTTCTTCAATTCCTTCTTCCGCGTAATTGTCCAAACCGTCTCGCCGGAGGGAAAAGTTCAGTTATGATGACCTGAATGCCACCTCTGGTTTCCCAACGAAAATAATTGCCCTATTAATCCCCGGGTCGAGGTGACTCTAGCCGGCTAAGAGCCTGTGACAGATTTCCGAGAGCGGCTCGTCGTGACCTCCTCGACCTCCTTACATAACCTTTCCAACACTGGATTGGAAGAGCGAATAATTAATTTGCGTTATATTTAATCAATTTTTGAATTAATGGTCAAAGATGGGACGTTTTAATTTTTATAAAGCACATGGAAGTTTACACAGATGATGCTGAAATATGAATCTGTTTTTTGTTTGTTTAATAATTAAACTAGTTAATTTTGATTAAATTGAAACAGATTAACAAGTGATATCAAGAAATTTTAGTCCAGTTAAGTTTTCTTCTAACTTTTGTTAAAACCTTAAGAGGAGTTTCACCTCAAGTCTAAATCTTGAAATCAAGCTGACGTAAGATGTGGAATGGAATTTTTTGTATATATAAACCATCGTCGGTACAAAATCGTACCTTGAACTATCGTCGTCATGGGAAACATGTTTTAAAGAGAAGGGCCCGGAGAGATTTCATACTCGGCTCCGTCGAGAGAGGAATCTCAGATTCCCCACTTGATGGTCCTCTTAGACTTAGCCTGCGCCTCTTTTTGGTTTACGAGCGAAGTTAGGCCTGAGCTGTCGCCGTGAGAAAACCTGAACCGAATAACTCGAGAGTGTCTTAATTAATAACAGTAGATAAGGAGGTTGG